GTACTTAGTTGGAGAAGTACCATGATGCTTATAATTTATTTCAAAAGACTTTACCTCCCCCCCCCCAATTAAACAGATAACGGCAAATTTTTAACGATGGTTATATCTAGGTCATGAAGATACAGGTGTTCATTGAGCTATTTTCTTTGCTTTTTCATATGTTTGAAATATTTTATAATAAAAAGCTTTTTAAAAGCACAGTAAAAACATTTTTCATAATATTACCATTTTTTTTTTTTTTTAAAGATGACCGGTAAGGGGATCTTAACCCTTGACTTGGTGTTGTCAGCACCACGCTCAGCCAGTGAGCTAACCGGCCATCCCTGTATGGGATCCAAACCCGGGGCCTTGGTGTTATCAGCACCTCACTCTACCGAGTGAGCCACGGGCCGGCCCTAACTAAAACATTTTAAATGGTCCACAAAATGGGGTTTGTTAAATCATGCTTAACAAAACAATAAAACAGAAGTTGTCAAAGAGTATTAAGAAATGAGTTCACTATAGTAGTAAGTGGAAATAGCAGGCTACAAAACAGCCTGTATGGTAAGATTCCATTAAGAAACATTTTATATATATATATATATACCTAGAAAATACCTAAAACAGTGATTCTTGTTGGTTGGAGGAGAGTCAGGTACTTCTCTACAAATTGAATAAGAGGTAGAACTCCAAACCCATGCACAATTTCCCCCAAAGCCCATCCATGAGTCCAGGTTAAGAACCACCCATCTGGAAGGATCCCACCAAGACACCAACAGCATGGTGTCTGGGTAGGTGGAATTATGGGTGTTCTTTTATGAATTACTTTTTATTCGGCTGTATCTCCACCTTCCTCCCTGTCCCCCTGCCCTGTTTTTCTGAGCACCTATTATTTTCAAATAAGAAAAACTAAGCTAACAAGTAGGAACTGGGCTTGTTCTAAACTGTACTTTATTTTTTTAATTTTTTAATTTTTTTTATTCCTTTTTGTCTTTTTTACTGACTGGTAACGGGATCACAACCCTCGGTGTCGTGCCCGTACCGGGGACCGGCAACGGGATCGCAACCCTCGGTGTTGCACCCGCACTG